GAACTCCCGCTGGGCTGGCAACTAACGTGGCAGGAATGGCGTTGCAGAAAAACGTTGTGGCCGTTGACAGCTTTTGTCTATGATTATGAAGGGAATATCCATGTCTCTGGAATGCGCCAGCGTCGGCGAGGTTATGCTGATAGCATACGGATAGATGGACTTGTCATCGACTACGTGCCGCGTCCAAGGGGGTGCAGTGCCTCTGGCGTGATTGGAGGGGCCGCCGGGCCCTGAGCATTGTTGCGCTTCTGTGGATCTTTGATGGCACTGTGACCTGTGTGGGTAGTAATCCGAACGCCCGCTCGCGACGCTAGTGGTGTTCGCTCTTCCTGCAATGTTTCTTGTGACGGCGTTGCCGTGGTATGATGAGCAAGGAAATTGCAATTCCCGAGACGATGAGGGACAGAAGTCCGCTGCCCGACATGTCACCGTCGACATACTGCGTAGACTGCGGTCAGCGTCAGATGCGGTCGCTGGCAGGAATGGATACACAAGTGCCTCGAACGTGGAGATTGACGTTGAAAGAATGTTTAGACGTTGCCAAATGTTGCAGCATACCCGCAAGGCTCGAGTTGGCCCTTGGGATACTGGGATTCCTAGGCCCGTATGCCCTGTGAGCGGGTACGCGACCAGGTAGCTCCTAGAGCTCAGGGTAGCTTAAGAGCCACCAGGGTCATCATCCTCCCCCAGCTTGTCGAGTTGGAGGTCGGTGAGCGTTCCTTCACGTTCTCTAGGCTGGTGGTGACTTCATTCCAAGTGTCTGGCTGAGCCGGGGAGGACATCAAACTTGTCCGCGTCGTAATAACAACCGTATGAGGACCGATACCTAGTCCGTTTAAGCTCAATATTCAGGAAACCCGTTCGCCTGGACAATGTCAAGTGAGACCCGTTTCGCTCAAGCTTCGCGGGGTCTGCCAGGCTTGCCAGGTTTCTCTGGGCTGTCAGCGACGTTGGAGAAGCCGGCCCTGGTCTAGCCTGGTGCTCCCTCTTCACCGTCCAAACGGGTAGCCCATGCCGGACGGCGCCCCTTGGACGCCCACCCGCAGCAGCCACGCCCACTTCCCAGGCATGCCAGTGCTGCCCACAAATTGGCCCGCAACACCCCTGGCCAGTACCAATGGCCCCAGCCCAAGGACGCAGTGGCAAGACCGGTTTCGCGCCACTCGGCTGGGTTGAGAAGACGGCTGGGGCGCGGGTAGGGAGTTCCCTGACCGACTGTTTAGCGAACACCAAGGCGGAGCCCAAGACATTATGTGGCGCTGGATGGAGAGAGACGAAGAAATTGCAGGTCAGGTACGGACGACTGAGCGTTCTTTGTACCGCCAACGACAACCCCACCACAGCGACTTTTGGCAACGTTGGCGGTCCAAAGATGGACTTCATGATGCTAGGAATCGCTTCCACAATCGTGTCTCGGCTGTGGCTTGTTGTCGTGTCGAGGCTCTGGTGGACGGCTTGACGGAAGAGTATTATCGTGGTGGTAGGTAATCTTAAGTGTAATTCCACCGTTCCTTCGGTCTAGCTCCGACAAGGACCGCTACGGGTCGTCCCAGGCGGGATGCCAAATTCTCCGACATGACCAGGCAATGTTGATGTCGAAAGCGACAATCACAATAGGGTTGAGATGTCGAAGACTGCTTGTGCGATATAGCTGTTGAGGATACAAGACACCTACAGCCGGGGGAGCAGGGCTGTTCATCCATGTGTAAAGCCCCGGGTCAAAGGACAGTGTACTGTGTAGGTATATCCGTCTGTGTCTGTGTTTTCGGATCTACACAGTAAGAAGCGTTGGCCGTGAAGCGTATCCCGTCATTGAACGCCTCCAAGTGCGTGCTGTGTAGGTAGGGAGACCGGATCTGAGTGAGGTGTTGCTACTCTATTACGCAGTGTCACGAATGGAAGGAAAGCTACGAACCTAAGGCATCATCTAAGGCTTAGATACCTTACCTTACCTGCCTGACCCTCAGAAGGAAAGGACGCACATGCCTTCCTCTCTAGGCAGGACATGGGATCTGGAAGGAAGATAGCAACTGTTCTTTCTACCTGAAGAGGAAGTCGCGATTTTGCGATGAGATGGATTGACAGGTGCGCCTTCCATCCATACGAACATGGAACGCACCAGCCTCGTCCTCAGCCACAATGGGGCCTCCTTGTCTTTCACCCTGTCACCACCGCCCAACTTCCAACTTCAAGTACCAAAAATCAAGCACGCCAGCGCTGCAGCCATGCCATAAGATTCCCGTCGAATACATTCCATGACAACCGGATGACATTGAGTCAAATGTCAAGGCCTAACTGGATGGACCTTTGACAAACATTGAGCACGCAGGGACGTTGTCTGCATGCATATGCACCCTCCATACGAGCGCACCCTACTCATAGTCTCATACACTAACTCGGTAGTATTCACATCCCCACCCATTTCCACCAGCCCGCACATCGTCTGTATCTTGCCTGCTGCATCTGGTCTTCGCAGTTCGTCCTTTCCGCTAAACTTCGATCGTCACATCACACTATATTCGACGAAGCCCGATGGAGGTTGGGACGAGTCGACAAACTCGCCTCTGGCATTGAGAAACCAAAACAGCCATGCATATGGGGGCTGGAGGCGCTGTTGGGAAAAAGCAAGCAGACGGTTAGCCAGAGCCACAAGATTGAGCTCGGTTGCAACAAACCACCAATAACGTGTCGAGCCTGGCGAGGACCCAGCTCCGATTGTGTTTGACGTTGGGCTTCCGCCATCGTCTTCAGAGGTGACGCCCGTCCCTTTCGCTTTCGCTCCCTCTTCGGGCCCCATCAGGATTCAGGTTTTCATAAAGGAATACCCGGGAGACTTCCGCGGCGCGGCATCCGTCCGAACTTCCAACTCACTGCCATCGGACTCTTGGACCATCTTCTCCAAGTTATATGGGATACGAAGAGCGTCCAACTAAAGATTTGCACAATTTTTGATGTCAAGAAATGAGATTTTGTCCTCCGCATACTTTCGCATTGTATCAGACGCCGTGCTGAAGAGACCACAATACGGGAGCTTATAAATAGACCCTGCTGTTGAGGAACAATGGGACGCCAGACTTTGGGCTGGGTAGGATGATTCAAATCCCAGCGTTCGAGGCACAAAAATAGGTGCACTGGACTGACTGCCCATCTCTTGATGCAGATGCAACCATCAAACGCAGACAGACCAGTTACGAGAAGCTACGTACCTCGACGTTGGTGGGTGGCACAGGAGGGAAATGGAGGAATTTGCACAACCAGCCAAACCAATGGCGACCGACCCGACGCAACTCAGCAGAGTCTATCCCAATTAGGGACAAGATGTCTTTGTTGCCGGCACCACATTCTGTCGCCTCGTGGAGTATCGACATTCATTCACCAGCCACTTCCAGGAAGCCCTGTTTCTTCAGGAGGCCTTCGCCTACGGCAGACACATGAGGCATCTCATTTTTCAACCCTAGTGCGAGACAGAGAGAAAACCCCGATACCGAGGGGATGACGGTTACGCGCTCAAGCAATGTGGCTGGAACAAAGTCGATCTCCGGCCTTTCTATGTACCCCGTACACCGCCGCCGCCGCCGCCGCCGCCGCAACAGAGTTTCTGGCACATTAATATGCGTACATCGGTCACAAGCTCTCATCAGCATCAGCGACTGATCAAACTGGGAGGCCGCAGGCGGCATTACGTACGTCCAATTTAAACGTCGGCCTGGCGTCGAACCGTCTGAAGCCAGACTGATTTCGCCATGACCGAGAAGGAAGAATAGTCAACGATGCACCCCGTATGCGTGGGTGACGAAAGAACCTTTACCCGAAGTGCAACGTTTCCCGCACCCAACGACTCGCCCACAGCTTCTCGAACCTAGCTATGCCCCAATTGAGAGCGTGGCCGATATGAATGAGCGATCCAATACTGGGCTACCAAATTTCACTAATATCGAAGCGGAAACGCTTGGCAACACTGACAGAGACTGTGCGTCTTCCTGGCCCGATGGTTTTCACGGACATTTCGAAGTCCGCCCCCAAACTTCTCAGCCTGTCACTGGCGCCGCCCACTCCCGTATTCATATACTGCCGTGGCCGATCGCTTATTGGGTTTCCGCCGCGTGTCGGTAGAAGGCTTCGCCTCAACGCTTATTGGTCCAGCGTCACCGCCTCCAGGACTTTGCAGCAGGTTTCCTTCATCCAACGCTAGTTTGGTAAGTGCCCAATATGCCACGGGGCGTGCTGAGGTGCCCTCTCGCCGGTACCTATGGTTTTGTGAAGCTGCAATTAGGTTTGCCGTACTTGCTGGACTATCTTTATTAGCAAAGACTTATTCTAGCAGCATCTCGCAGTGGCGTTCTCTAGTAGACCTACTTGGAGGATCGAGTTTTCAAGAAGCTGTCCGGATGACACTAGCAGCCAGTTGCGCGGCGCGGCGAATTCCGTCGCCATTGCGACGCTAGTTGTTCGCTTTAGAACATGCTCTGGTCCTCGAGTGGGCCATCTCTGCTGCAATCAGTCAGAACTCGATGTATTGATTAGCAGTAAAAAGACGAGTTGTTTGCTACCCAAGCACTCAAGCAAGCCAAGGTTCGAAAAGTAATTGTCTTAGGCGGCGTTCCCAAGTTGCAGCACGCTATGTTAGCTGGCCCCGCTATCTCCTGTCAGTTTTCGAACCGGCTCACGAACCGTTGGGCCTGCAGACAAACCCAGTCCCTGTATCCGTTCCCGTACCTGGCGCGCCTGGATACTCCAAGTGGGCCAGAACACAAACCGGCTTAAAGGGGCATTTGGCGCGTCCCGTCACCCCCCTACCATGCCCATAGACTCGACTCTACGGATACGGATAGCAAATCTTTGCACGGGATATCTGCACCATTTCGGAGCAAATTTACTACCAAGAGACATTATCCTCGCATCGAGTAACCTGTATGGATAGGCTGTAGCTCCATGCGAAAACCGACACCATGAGCTAGTGCGCTTGTTCGTGTTAGGAACTTGCCTAGACACGGCACAGCATGGCGGGCCGGTTGGCTAGGATTCAAGCCCGAGGCAATGCAGAAGCTATCCTCACTGCGGCTGGGGTCTCTCTCCTCCAGGACCATGGGACAGCTGCCGCCGGGTACCCTGACACCCTGAGAATAAGGCCAACGGGCATGGGATGGATGGTGGGATGGTGCCGTTCAGACCCGGTCAACGCGGTGAACATCTACACAGTATGTACAAGCCCCCGCCCTGGCTTGCCAGCCTGGGTTCCCGACTGGCGCGCCTGCCAGGGCATGGAGGCTAGGCCACTGGTGATGGGCTTTGGGAAGCCCAAGTGCCACTGTGCCTGGAAAACGCGGGCTGCAGCCACTCTCAAGATCAGCACCCCAAGAGCAAGGGACTTCATGTCCAGGCTGCGACAGGGAACAGCAGGGATCACGACACCCTTTGACATTCCCTTGCCATCCTCCCTACTCTTCTGCAGTCTGAAGTCTGCACCACAGCCCTTGGCCCTTCTCCCAAGTTTGGCTCCTGGCCTGTCGTCTCCCCAGGTCGCAGGTGCTCCCGCACACGCTTGATTACCCCCCCCGTGGTGTGCTCCATCCTATTCCACCTTGGCCCAGGAACCAACTCGACGGTGCCGTTATCCTTGCCTCCCGCATTGCATCGCACCGCCGAGAACCGTCAACCGTTGCAAGCCTGAAGACATGGAGAACCAGCAGAGTGGCTCAGATATGGTTATGGGCAGGTCAGAATATCTGCTCAAAGGGAAGAAGACATTGAATCACATTCGCAGCGATCAAATGTGCTTCAGGCAACTGTGCGCATTCACACATTTCGATCATGTCATGGTGCAAGGCTCTCCCTCGGCTTTGGCGACCTCTATTGGCTGTATCTCGGGGAAAAGAGATACATGTCCAGTTGCGATGGCAGTGTTACCGCCACACCAGCCACTTTGGCTAGGGACGCATGGAGCAAACAGAAGTGACTGTAAGATACACCATAACGTTGACAAATTCATTTGCGCTGCAGCCTCAGAAATGGGAAAATCGTCATCGTGCCTCAAGCCTGTCGAAAATGGAATTGGATGTGCAGGCGCAAACATTGGCTGTGCCTCTACCAGAGCTGAGTACTTTGCGTCATAGAGCGGAAGACACGGCCGGTGCATGAGAATTGGTAGGCCGGAACTGACCAACGCAATATCGCTACAGGCGATTACTGGCAGAAATCATGATCTAGTCGGTCCCGGAGTGTGTTACTGGGCTGGGCCGATGTGATGCTCCATGGCAACGTTGAAATGCGACGAAGTGCGAATGAGACGTAGGTGCTTCGGCCAGTATGAAGCAATGACATGAAGTTCAAAGATATGAGGTCGAAGACAACCCTGGCAGCCTTAGCTCTGGCAACCTTGTGCGTCCATGTTCGCAACCCCCCGCTTGGCAACAGCATCTCCACGTGCTTGGGGCATGGTCCAGTTCCATCGTGACTTCTTAATCCTGGCAGCCTTGAGGTGAGCAACCACCCACGATCGTGTGTGCCCGCAGCTCGTAGGTAGCCCAGTACTCCGTACACACAGGAAGGCAAGGTAAGGTATGGATGTACCTTCCCACGCTTCTTTCCCTTCCAGGTTGCCTGGCGTTGCCCTATGGAGAGTATCCCCTACTTCCTACCTACTCTTGTAAGGTACTGAATAGGTAGGTAGCTTCCGCCTCCAGGCTCCTGGCTCGTGAGATGCATCGTCCTGCCTTGCCTCCCGTTGCCTGCCTTTACCATCGCGCCTCTGCTTCCCTGCCCTGTCTTCCCGCTGACCCCCGTCCCTTTCCCTGCACGACAACCTTATAACGATTAGTCTGACCAACGTCACTCCAACTTCAATGTCAATCTCGAACTCAACGACGCCATCGTCATCATCATCGCTATCACCAGCGGCATCACTATCACCATCATCGCCATCATCGCCATCACCACCGCCGACGCCAGCAGTTTATTGCTCCCGCATGTCAACACGTGGCAGCGGTAGCCGTTCTCTTGCGACGCTGTCTTCACCACCTTGACGGCATCGCGAGAATCCGGTCTCCTCGTCTTGTTAGCGAGGCTATCCTCAAACACTATGGCAGCACCAACAAGTCGCCGTCTAAACTTTGTTCGCCCCGGCCGACAGTTCGAGCTCGTCATAGTCTCGTCGCATATCTGTCTTCTCATACCAGTACAACACACAACAACAAGCAAGACATATCCCTGGACTGACTTGGCCTGCACTCTTATTCTTCCTCTCCTTCTAGACGAGTCGAGACGAAACGGAAAGAAGGACGACCCGACGAGCCACTTCTGCTACTGAAACATAGCTTGTTGGTCTCCAGGTGACCTCGACCCGATTTCTCCACACACCATTCCCCAGTGTGAGTCGTGCTGTTTCTCGCCCAAGTTACAGTTCCAGACGGCGCCATAGCGTCCCCTCCCACACTTCAGATTCTACCGTGGCCCCGTTACCTATCTAAGTAGTCTCGTTCTCTAGAACTCGTCTGCCCTGATGCTTGTCATGAGCCATCTCACGCCACCCACGCAATATTCTCGAGACGTTCCGTCTGCTTCGCTAGCCGCCCGTCTTTGATGTTGCGCAATATGCGCTGGCAGATCGATGTGGGCGGGCCCTAGCGAAATGTGGCATGTCAACGAGGAAGCGGACTGGAGGAGCGCACGCCAAAATCGCGCCTTTTCTGACCGATGTCACCCCTCCGCTACTTCGCGATTCATCCAACATGGAACAATGCTCCCCCCTCAGCTTGCGTCTTTTCCTCCAGCCACTAGGTATTGTATACTACTCCTCCTGGAATTGTCCAAATCCAGCGGACATCCCCGTTGCACCTGTCCACCTCTCGCAATTTATTTTGGGAAGGGCAATACGATGCTGATTATGACAATCGTGCAGCAGGCAAGAGATCAAACCCAAGACTCCCACCATTATCCCTGCGCGCTTTGTGTCGCCTACTCAAGATTCTACAGCAACTCATCCCATCCAATTTGCCGGTCACATTCTCGAACACTAGCTGTCCAACGTCTGCGCGACTTGTAACCAGGGAGGTCCCCAGCTACCTAGTGTCATGGCGAATAGACCCTCAGGGGGGGAAGAGAGACCGCGCACACAACTACACACCTCTGTGGCTGTGCAGTGTGACTGCGACCCGAGAACCCAAGAGTCCGGGCCGCCTCGCAGATATAGCAACAAGATCAGACAAGATATTGCCACAAACGCGGCAGATGGATGCAGAATATTGCACACAGCGCGTATTGCATCCAATCAGCCGTGAAAAAAGCGGCGCCTTTTTTGCATCGTACTTGATGCATGATCGAACTTGACCCTGTGACACCAAGCATTCTGGACAGTCACCGAAGGAGCATTTCAAGCCAGTCGCTCTATTGGTCTTTGGGAGCTACTTACGTTCCAACTCGACCAGAACCGAAACGGCTTGAGAATACTGTCTCTCGGAGCCGCCGTTACTTAGATCCAAACTGTGCCTTCTATGGAATAGTCGTCGTGTCGCGATTCAGCAACGTTTGTCTGCGCACACTCCAAGGCAGCACATCAAGCAATAGTACGAGAAGTCCGAGCAACCTCGTGGTTCTTTGAGGTTGGCACCGTTTCTGACCCCCTTGCCTCCCGCTCAACCCCCAACCCCAAAAGCCCAGGGTGAGACGTTCGGGTCGACTAGGCATTTTCGTGTGTGGGCAAGGGTCGTTCAATGCTAACCGTGACCGGTGTTTTTTGACAGGCAACGGTCCACCAAACTACCTTGAGGTAGCACTTTGCTTACCTTGGTCATACCGTCCCATTCCTCGTAAGGAGCAGGGTATTTCAGGCTTCTAGATCTGGCTCAGAAGCGCAGCCATTCCCCCGGACGGCTTCGACGTTGAAGCTACCTTAGGCTACCTTAGCAAGGTCGCAAACTAATACTGACATCGCCACTTCAGCTACGGATGCCGAAGAAGCTTATTCTCATAGACTCATGGTAAGTGAGCCACCGCCTCTCCACGGGGCGCCTGCCAACTCCCACCCTGGCTCTTCTTGGCTGGCTGACAGGCATCTCGGATCCTATGTAGATATCGATGGACCTCCGTACTCTTTCCACCCACCCGTATTCATACTGTGGGTGTCCGTCAGGGTGTATTTCCCGCTGTTGGAGCGGTGAGGATGAACTTCGGTCTAGGCTCTGCACATCACGTCGATATTCTTCAGCATTTCGCTCCTTTGGCCTGTCTCGTTAGGTATTGCGTACCCTCCCACCGGGGGACCGGTTCCGTCCACACCTCTCGTCTCGCTGGCTCCCCTTACACCTGCCCACCCGATTCATTTAGCCGGGATTCTTTCGTCACATTTCTCTTGGGGGGCTGCGGTATCATCCAATAGTCGTCCTCTGGACGCAGCCCATCCCACCCCAGCTTCTCCTTAATCAATGTGCCGAGTGGCCAACTGAAGGGACGTCGACCTACTTGGGAATTGGCGTTATCGCTGGTCCTATTTTTTGCTCTTTTTTCTTATTCCTCTGAGGACCCGTTGCCAATCACTCGAGTCTCCCTGGCTCTGCCTAAATATCCGGCATTCTCTCCATGACGCCGTCTGCCTCTTGACTCTGCTTTCCCTTGCTTTACCCGTCCTTCCACACGCCTCCCAGTCACACCCAGCAAGCCGTTCGTTCCTCGCAGTGCCTGACAAGCGTCTTAGCTACCCTACGCTATTTCTCCAGGGTCCGTGTTGCGTCATAAATCAGCTTGAGCCACTCCTCAGCACGAGAAACCCCTGACCAGGCATTTCACAAAAGCACACTCCAAGTAGGTTCCCCAGTTGCTTGACAGTTGTACATTTTGGTTCCCCTTGCGAGAGGGACAGACGCCGTTGCCAGCGCCTGTGGCCTTTGCAAGGCTGGCCTGCATGAACTAATTCAGAATACAGGTAGAACAACGACGCACAAGTCAGGTCCCCCAGTAGCGGGACACAGCAAGGCCTGCATACGCATCCCAGATTTCGTTCGCACGGCCCCGGCGAACAACGTTCGACCAGCTCCCTGGTCCATCCCCGGAGAATTGGGAGCCCGTCACACACCACCCAAACAGACCGAGCCAGCGTTGAGGCATAGCTCCATTTGAGCAGGGAAGCAGACACACTAATCAAGCCCTCCTACGGATACGCTACCTACCGTCAGAAGGACTAGAAGAACCATCGACTTCTTCCTCGGGAGCCCGCTGTCAGAGCCTTCTTCTCCCGCATTCGTTCCAGGTCAGGACACCCACGCAGCGCCAGCCTCAAATTCCGTGCATTACTGGGTTGCCCTCCCCTGCACAAGTGTACACTACACACACACACACACACACAGACACTCACATACGCACACTTATACTCGCACACACATACTCACACACTATAAGCAGACGCTGCAGAACCATCAGAATCCACTTGTAACCCTCGTTCAGCCAGCCTTATCCAGATACAGGCGCAGACACTCCCCCGTCATTGCTCGTCAACGCGTTTCTAACACGTCCAACTCTCCCTCCAAAAGGTTCGTGATTTTTCGTCTTTAATCTCCGTCTTTTCTTTGCTTCCCGTGCTCCCCGCCGCGTGTCGAATCTTGTTCAGCCTTTACGAATAGTCGTATTTCCGATGGGCTCCGAAATTGCATTTCGAGATGCATCATCTGAAGGCGTTGCTGTTCGGCGCCTATCCGTATGGGGCTTACACTACGCCCAAGCGCGTCTTTGTTTCAATTTCGGTAACGTCCCATGTTGCAGTCTGCGCATGAACATGGCCTGCACGACTCATCGCATCCCCCTTGGGCTTGCCGTCAGGGGGGGGGGAGGGTCACCATTTTATTGGGGCCCTCTTGGGACCCGGTCGCGTGTTCTTGACGCGGTCGCATGAATTTGCTCCGATCAAAGTTGGGAAAACAAAACACTTAAGATGCTGACTTGAGTCGATTTGCAGCAAGCTGGGATATCTTTGTTTCACAACGTCGCCAACCTCGGACACACCTGCCCAAGATCACGGGTTCAATCTTTGCTCAACTTACGCCCGCACCAGCAACGAACTGAAGTACACGGAACGCAGCGATCGCGACATTTAGACCAGTCTACCTAAGCACAAAAAAAAGTGAGTACGTACGCGAACAACAGGCATCTCCCAGTCGATTTCTTGCCAGCAAAGCGCTGGCCAACCTCCCTTTCTTGCCACGGATATTCCTGTTTCCTTGCCCACGCGTCCATCAGCCGTGATGACTTGATGGAAAAACCTTGCACCAAGAGGTGCGGGGAATTCAGCGAAGGTTGGGCATCAGGATGGGCCATCTCTCGGCGATCTCACCTCATGCCAGCCTGGCTGGTAAGGGACATCGAACATCCCCGTTGGGATGAATTGGAGTCTGTTCTGATTCCAGGGAGGCCTGGAAGAGCCTGGTTCAAGGTTCATTAGCTACAGATGACAGATGGCTAACCAAGACGCACAGAAACATCAATATCAACTCATGACTGTCAGAGCCATGGCGCAGAACAGGCAGCCCTCGGGTGGCTACAAGCAGGAGCCTGATCACGTAAGTCACGCCTTCCATTATTCTACAAACCTTTCCGTTTGGTTGTCATGTTACCGAAAGAAGTCGTTCTCCTTTGCTTCCCCCCTTGTCCCCATTTCAATTACTCAAGTTCGTTGGTCGCGCATAAGGGTGTCTGCCTCAGCTTGAACGCTTGCTGGCCCTAGCTGCCGGAAGACTCGTCACTCGGCTACATGCTTGGACGGCGAGTCGTGACAGGCGGTCCCCACGGACCTCGACTGAAGCTCTCAAGCGGGAGTTGCAGAAGAGGTCAAACATGGATAGGGTTTGAGCTACGCGCACAGTTGGCGTCGGCAAGATGAGTTTCCTGGGATTCCCGTGGCTTCCAGAAGATGGCAACGCTGTCGCAAGCTTGACCAGGTCAGGAATCCAAAAAGTCTGTGAGATTGGCAGGGTGGCTCCTGTTTCACCAATGACCGGGGCCGTCGCAGGCTCCATTCGCATGAGTGGGACCTCCCGACCAGTGTACTACGACGCTATTCCCTTTTGCACCACTTTGATTTTATTTTATCTTGAATTTTCATTTTCGCTCGTCGAAGTTGGGGGAGAGGAAAGTTGGAGAGAGGGTGAGGGGACAGGCGTGGGCAGCCAGACCAAACCAGCCGGGGTTGGGCAGGGCAGGGCAGGGTGAGTGCTACCCAACCTGGTTCAAGCTCCGGGAGGCTGGGTGAACATTGGATACCTTGGGAAAGCTCCCAGAGACACGTTCGTGGTTCTGCCCTCTACGGAGTACGGTCGAGTCTTCGCGCGCCGTTGACCGGGGTCTCACGCGGAGGTGCAGCCTGTTGCCTCTCTGGCGCGCACCCCTTGCGAGCCGCAGCAATCGCGACATTCCTCTTGTTGCTGGCTTTTGGATTTGCGTTGCCTGTCTGTATCAGTATGTTTCCTCATGTTGTTCGTCGTCTTCCCTCTCACGCTGAATGGAGGTGGTGGTGACAAGGCGAGACTCGATGGCGCAGGCACCAAGCCAAGAGGTGGCTGGTTCGTTGGAAATGAGGGACACCACGCAGGGCAAAACGGCGGCCAACGGCTTCCCGGGCCTGTCTAGATGCCTAGTGTTGTCTCGAGCACAACGGGTACCGACCTTTCAGCTTTTTAAGCCTTAGTGAGGTTGAGCTACGCTATGGGACGCGCGCGAAAGAAAGCGTGTACTTTGTGCGCCCCCCCCCCCCCTCGTTACTGTCCTCTTCCTTGGGCCCGTTTTCCCGACTACCTATCTACCCACTCACGTGGACTTTGAAGACGGGAGTGTCACGAGCTCCTTCTTGTCATAATGTACACGTCAGAGCGAGGAGAAAAAGAAAAGAGATTCCACAAGCTAGCCGAAAGAAATCGGCTGAAGGAAGAGCTCATTCTAGGTGATGAGCTCTGTCTGTGGATGTACGGCAACCACACTCGAGTCGAGGTATTCGTAGTGGTGTACTGCTCTGACGGGCCTTTCCCTGGCAAAAGCAAGATGAAGATGAGGTGACGATTGTGGAGATCTGGAGGCGTCCGGGTGGGGTGCACTCATCCTCTATCTCCCTCTCTCTCTTTTGCTCTGCAACACACGTTCTTGGTGGGGGCTGCCATCAGCTTTCCCCAATGACGGGTGGCTGAGCAATTGGGAGGGGGGGATGGGGGGTCGGTGCTGACCTAGCCGATGCATTCATCACTCTGTTCGTTTGCCAGAATGATTCGGAATCGGCTGCTGTTGGAGGGAACATCTGCACGAGTTCTGAGTTCACTCTCCCCCATCGATTGCGCATTGATAGGGGGCGGGAATCGGGAATCTGGTGGATGATTGGCAAGAGAGGCAACGTCTGTCATCGCCGGTTGTTCTTGTTTCGACCCGCGCGCCGGCAAGGAGGAGAAGATGGGCAAAAGGCCTGCAGACCACAGTACAATCGTTTGCCATTGTTCCCACCAGGGGGCAAGGGCGGCGAGGGTGACTTTTGCTGCCGCTAGTTGTGGAGAGTCCAAACCAACGTTGAACGACGAGGGTGAAGACAGCCAGAACGCGTCCCCCGTCATCTTCTCTGAGCTGGTTTTGGGGGACGAAACGAACGTATCGATGACCTCGGAGCAGGCTTGTCAGGCGCCTGTTGCAGCGAGTACTGAGTACGCCGCTCCCGCAGTGCTGGGCAAGCAGAGCTCCGGGTTCCTGGTTGTGCCTGGGACGTGGGTGATACATGGGCCAGCGGCAAGGTCTCAAGTGCCAGTGCGAGTGCCATGCCCATGTGCCCACCAACTCACTCCATTCTAGATGCCAGCAGCGCATTAGCAGCAGCAGGCATTCGAAGCCGGACCAGGAGGCCAGGAACGGTCAAGCAGCAAACGCGGGGGGAACATGCCAACGACAGCGCGGGAGTGAGTGCTGTGCCAGGGCTCCCACACAAGCCGGGTCTCCGCAGGCACATTTTCCCAGGGCCGTTACAGAGAGTACCTACTTACCTACTTCTCTTCCCTCGTCTCTCTTTCTCTCACACACAGACTGTCTCCGCCTCATGGGTTCCCACACCGCCTTGCGCCAAACAAGTGCAAGATGTTGCCAGGACCAGGGGTGAGGACAGGGTGAGGAGGGAACCCGGGAATTGAAAGTGGGAAGCCTCTTTTTTGGGGGTCGGTGGCTGAAAAAAGGTACGACCAGGGAGCCAAGCAAGCAAAGTTGCAGACGCCATGCTTCTGGAGTCGTGTTTTTCACAGTTGCGGTCTATCGCCCTAGTGGATGAGAGACTATGGTCCTTTGAGAAAGAGATGAGAGATGAGTGAAAAATCATCACACAAGAGAGAGAGAAAGTACTGCGGTACACACGAGAAAGAGAGAGACTTGAGAGAGAGTGGCAGAGAGAGAGAGAGAGCAAGATTGAGGGCCCGCGGCGGCATCCCGGTAGTATGCTGGTCTGCTGGCTAGCCCCGGATGAGAGATGCCTGATTGGGTAGTTGACCCTGCTCGGCCCTGCAAGCGCGTGCCGCCATTGGCCATTTAATCTACAATGCAAGAGACCCCTGTCACGTTTCTTCCATGCGCTGTCCCATACACCCTATTCAGCACTCGCACGCCCCTCAATCTATTCCCACCCCATCTACACCCACCCCACTTACACCTTTTTTTTTCCTCTTTTCTTTTTTTTTTCCCCTTCTTATTCTTTTCCCAGTACGTACCTCACCTCCACACACCAACACCAACACCAACACCACACACCCAGAGCAAATCCCGCCTGTCTGCCGTACTGCGCACACGCCCCCTTTCCTTCCTCTCCAACACTACCCAGTACCTACCTACCTGACTGCGTAAGGTCATGTACACCTCGCCTTCACCTTGTCTCTGACTCTCTCTCCTCTCTCCCGGTTCTTTCCCACGCAAGTTGGAACTTGGAGACAGAGAGAGAGGAGGCAGTCGCAAAGTAAGGCTCACCATGATACCCTCACGCCCCTACCTTGCCTTTTTTTTCTCTTTCTCACAACGACACCAGCCCCTCTTGTCCCATCTTCACGTCTTCTGCGTCCTTTCCTCATCTTCCTTGCCCTCGTCCATGCCCACCACCACCACCGCCAATCCTCCTTCTCCTCCCAACACCCACGCCCTCCCCGGTCGTTATTATCCCCTGTCCGTCCTCCCACGCGCAGCTTCTGCTCTTGCTCTGGGACCTCTCTGCAAGTCGCAGCAAGAAAAGCATCGAGAAGCTCTCTCTCTCTCTCTCAGTCTTGCTCTCTCTTGTATGGGACTACTACTTGCGTACGCCCAACCGAAAAGATTTCACTCATTGGTGCACTTTTATCTCTCTTCTTTCTCTCTACCTACCTCTCTACCTCCCGCCGCCGACGACGCCGCCGCCGTTACTAGTAAACGACTTTGCCTCTTGTCCTTTCCTGCACAAGTTACCGAGTAGCAAAGACCCGAAGGCGAATTCACACGCGCGTGCACGTACGTTCAAAACCCTGACAATTTTTTATTGCTCTGTTTTGCATTTGCTGTCTATTGCTGCTGCTATTGCCTGCTTTCTTGCTTTATTGCATTCTGCCTCCTGCTTCTTCACCTTACCTCTCACACACTTTCGCACGTCGTTGCTTGGGTGGCGCATATCATTTGTTGAGTATGTCCTGGCTCTGTCTTTCCTTCAACCGCATTCCCTATTACACACACCTACACACATCTCTTCTCTGACGTCGAGATATACACGGATATATCCTCCCGACCCTGGGCCTGGCTAGAGGTGTGTGTACAAGCGCATACTATGGTATGCCCTCGTCGTCTCGCCTCCAATTTGCCCCACGGCTTTGGTAGTGCGCTTACAAGGGCATTGCCGTCGACATCGCCATCTCCGTCGATATCTCGACTTTCGCCGTGCCGTAACCTCGCATCGGGCCCAAGGTCTCGAGGTACCGTGCCATTATATCGCCCCCCCTTGTATTACCTTACATTGCACTTTCTCTCTACCCCGAACAAGAAGCCGCACCGGTGCCGTATGAAGCTCCACCGCGTCTGCGCCCCCCTGACACTCTGCTTTCCTGTATCGTCTGCTTTTGGTCTGGCTCTGGCTATTGCGTTCCCATTTTTGCTTTCACCCCCGGTTGGGCTGCTGCGGGCTGGCTGGCTGATCGTGTGTACACCTGCCTGTCTGTCTGGTCCTGGATCCTCTATTCTCTCTTCTCTTCACATTGCTGCTGCCTCACAAGTGAGAGCGGGAGCAGCAAGTGCGAGGTGTGAGACGGCAGAGTGATCTCTCTCTCTCTCTCTTACTCACTCTTCGCGAGTGAGAGAGGAAAAGAAAACAGCTCTCGTACCAAGACGGACGCCTCCTGTCTCGTCCCCTGCCTCTTCCTTTGCTGCCCATCCCATCCTCCCCGATTCCCAGACATATCACTCCCCATCATAATTACCCACTTTGGATCCTACCCTGCTCCAATGTTCAAATAGCTACCCTGTTCCTCTCTTGTACCCTCACTCGCCCAATCCCCTCGGCTGCCCATATTCCTGCTGCACCCTCGCTCCGATCGCCATCTCTCCTCCGTCCTTCATACTCCCTTGTCATCTCATTGCACCATCCATCGTCTCTTTCTGCCTTCTGGCCTTCCTGTCGCGTCTCCAAACCAAGCTTGGGAAGAACCCGCAGTAGGAACCAGGACCGCAGTCTAAGTCGAAGGAGAAGAACCCTCTTGTTACTCTTTCGAGTACTTCATCTACACTCTACACCCCTACTCTTTTTTCACCTACTCGTACCGCTTCTCCGTATACCTCTCCCACTCATCCTCCATCATCTTTTCGTCTCTCTGCCCCAGTCGTGCAAATCTGCCAGAGCCAGGCCATCGCATTCTCGAAACCACTCGGGTTCCGCTTCCGAGTATCCTCGTCGCAGTACCTGCCCATTCTCTCTCTTTACCCGAAGCTCGCTACTTTGCTTGGGTAGTTATTCAGGGGTAAACCAAAAAAATCCGCCCCTCCCATCTTGTTCCCAGATCATCCTTACCCAGCTTGTACACAATTCCACTTGCAGCTCACTCGCACTCTCTGTGGTGTGTGTGTCTATCCCCTGCCCTCGCTTCTCCGATCTGGCGGCGCCGTAGTACGGCGACCTTGCATCTGGTCTGGAGCCCATCCATCCTGCTGCTTGTCTATTCGTACCTTGCCTGCCTTGCCTTGCTCCTCTTCTTTTCCCCAAAAGAATATCCACATTTTCTTTTATCAGAAAGGGGTCCCGAACTGGGTCTAGCACGCCTCACCCGCCTGATCCTCGTCGACTCCCAGGACTCCCAGGGGCAGCAAGGAACCACTTCTCACCACACGCACCTGCCTGCACCTGGATGCCCCCAGTCCCTTGACAGTGTCAAGGTGCAAAAAATAAAAATACAGACGCGCCGCGCCTTGCCTTGCCTCACTTTGTTTTTTCCTCCTTCTTGCTTGTCACCAGTCAACTTAATACGTCGAAGCGTTTCTTGGACGAGGGACTAATGGGTCTTTTCTCTATGCAGCATCACCCCCACCATCAGCCCCAGGGTCACGCACCTACACAGCAGCAGCAGCAACATCTGCAGCAGCACCAGCAACATCCTCGACCCTCGAGCGTTGTTCATCAACAGCATCATCCCCAGGCCCAGTCGCAGCAGCATCCCTCCTACGCCTCCGCCGGACACCCAATTGCTCCCGCCTACCAGCAGCAGCAGAGCCAGCCCTCCAACGCCCAGCAGCAGCACTCCCAGGACGGCCTTCCCTACTACGCGCATCCGAGTCCCTACAGCACCCCAGGCGCGACAAGCGGATACACATCCGCTGGTGAGTTTTCCTTCTTTCCTTTGCTATCCTTACCTTGCTCTGCGTGTGTCTATGTGTCTGCGCCTGCCACAAGAGGGACGCGCGCAAAAGACGCGCCAGACACTGAGAAAAAGACGCGTCTTTTGCTGCCTTTTCTCTTCTCTCGCGACAACTTGCTCTCTCGAGACAGCTTCAAAAGTTCATAACCGTTGACCACTGGATAGCAGACCAATCCGACATGATGGCCGCCGCTCAAATGCCGAGACCACCTTACCCTCCCATGTCCTACCACACACCGCAGTCGAACTCGCCCGCGTCGGTAGCCTCGCCTTCCCAACATGACCAGCACAGAAGCATCTACGGCCAGCCGCCGTCTCAACCTCTCCAGCAGCACATGTACTACCAGACGCCGCAAGCCCACTACCCGTCGATGCAGGCGCAACCCCAACAGTCTCCCTACGCGCAACACCAGGCTCAGACCCACCAGTCCATGTCTTCGCAGCCCAACATGATGATGTCTGCGCAGTCCCAGCAGCAGCAGCAACACATGCCCCAGCACCAGGCGCAACAACACCAGGCCCAGATGACCAACAGCCCCCGCGGCCAGATGAAGACGGAGCCCCAGGTGCCGCTGCAGCTCCAGAAGCCTCAGACGACTCCCATGCAACACCAGCAGCACCCTCAGAACGGCGCTGCTCTCAACACCCCCACAGGATCGACTCCTGGCGGTGTCAACCCCAATGCGGCGCCTGGACCCATTCCGGCCACTACGCCTTTGGTTGTAAGACAAGACCAGAACGGTGTTCAATGGATCGCGTTTGAGTACTCTCGCGACCGTGTCAAGATGGAGTACACCATCCGCTGCGATGTTGAGTCGGTCAACACGGACGAGCTCTCGGCCGAATTCAAGACGGAGAACTGCGTTTACCCCAGAGCCTGTTGCCCCAAGGACCAATACCGAGGCAACCGCCAAGTATACGAGACCGAGTGCAACACGGTCGGATGGGCTCTTGCTCAGCTGAACCCTCCTCTGCGCGGCAAGAGAGGTCTTATCCAGCGCGCCGTGGACAGCTGGCGCAACAGCAACCAAGACCCCCGGCTCCGAAGCCGAAGAGTGCGCCGAATGGCCAAGATGAACACCCGGAAATCGGTTCAGGGCGGCCCTCACCCTGCTCACATGGGCGGCCCCAGTCCGCCAGGGATGGCTCAAGGTGCTGGTGGCATGGGCCCCGCGGGTGCATCAGCCAAGATGCCTGGAATGAACATGGGTCATATGCCGCACACCAACGCTCCGGGTGGAGGGGATGAAGTCGGTATGTTTCACCAGATGTGATTAAAGAAGCCCTCCGCATCTGCAGCGTTTGCGAGCCCAGTCGTTGTTTGCTGTTGATTGTCGTTGCATCGCACATACACACCACTGCCCGGCACAACCCCCAAAGATCGTTGATTATGTGATACCTTTCCCCCCTTTTCATCATCACCAAGTCTTGTCGGCCGTGATCCTAGAGCGGACACGAGCTTCATCACCACCAAACACATACAAATTTTTTACCTGTGCCTTTATTACATTATTACTCTGCTAGTTGGTCAGACGTCTCGGGAATGGGTTCGTTGCACTTTTTTGTCATTTTCCTTGCGCTCCTCCTGTTGTATAGCGCCGGGCTTTTTCGGCCGCATCAAAGCAACTTGCCACCACGATACAGCAAAGCTCGCCGCGGGTCGAGAGGGATTTCCTTTTCTCTACGGCACAGATCTGTACATTACCATAGTTGCGCTGCACGCAGTTGCTGCTGTTGCTGTCGTTAGTCACCTGACCCGAGTTTGTCGGGCAACAAGATGCGATGCCTCTTAGAAGAGACATCGGCAAAAAGTCGCATTGCTTAGCGTTTTTGGCATTCCATCCCCAATCCTTCTGCGTCCCAATAGCATGGCTTTGGATGAAAGAGGGGGGCTTTTTTTCTCGTAAAAGAGAAAATCGTCCTGCCTGTCCCAAAGACCTACTCTTATGCCACTCTTGTACCTCCAGGGGAAAAAAAGCAACAAACCCATCCCGATCCTCCCTTCGTCGTCTTGAGCGTTTCGCGTTGCCGTTGGCTTGTGTTGTCAGGGTTGTCGATCAAACATGTTTACCCCTCCCACACTCCGCTCGTCTGCATACGTCCTCCCGAAACCAGTTTCCAATCTTTCTTCATTGTAACGTTGACTGACATTTGCTGTCTTGAAATAGGCGATGGCGAATACATGGACGAACACCATCACCACCACCAGGCCCCCGCTGGCCAGGAGGGCGGCGACGTTAGACAGTCGCAGGTCTTTTCCGGAAGCTACGGCGGTCACGGAGGCTACCCGGCATCCAGCTCCGGCTCGATGCCGCACATGGGCAGCAGCTCCCATGCCGGCGCCATTTCTGCCCGTCGCCACAGCCGCAGCGACAACGGCGAGCCCGAGGATTTGTTCCCTAACATCCCCGAGGCCAAGAAGCGTAAGTTCATTCTCGTCGAGGACAATGTCCGCGGTTCGCGTCTGCGTGTTAGAGTCACGCTCGACGGTGTCGATACCAAGGAAATTCCCGACTCCTTCCGCAAGGGCGCTTCCGTCTTCCCGCGGTCGTACTTCCCACGCGAGATGCAGAGCCCGCCGCCGTCTGCCACCGGCACCAAGTTCTTCCAGGAGGATGCCGATGAGGAGGACGATGGTGTTGAAGACACCGAGGGCCGTAGCTCCCGCCGAGGCCGTGGAAACAGCAAGTCCATGGTCAAGGTTCCGATTGGCGAGAACACCGAAGGCGAGGTCGCCATTCCCCGCATGAGGAAGAGTGTCCGAGGCAAGGAGGTCCGACTCAACGACCTCGGATACCGCATGGCTTGGCTGCAGAGCAGAGTCTTTGCGGGACGGACAGTCTTCCTCCAGAGAGCTCGTAAGTTTTTCCGTGTTGAGTACGAAACAGAGATCGAGCTGACATGAGTTATAGTGGACTGCTACCGCAACAAGACCCGTACTGCCATTGAATCCATCATGCAGGATGTCAAGACGCTCGTTCCTCACTTTGAGACGCGTGTCGGCAAGCGGAAGTGGAACGAGAGAATGAGAAAGGGAGAGGCTGATGAGTAAACGTCTTTCGATGTTGGACTCGTAAAAAGCATTTACTCATCTACTCGACCTCGCGACTATACGTTTACTATTGTGGGTTTCTCACTACGCACATAACTGCATTCTGTTTTTCGCCATGGACCCCAACATTCAGCATCATTAAAGCGAAAGTCACCATGCCCGCCCGTCAAAACGTTTCTAGTGCCTTTCAATCTCGTTTTCGCACATTGTTAATACCGACGTCTCACGACCACACACACATCGCACACCGCACACAGCTACACGCAACAAAAAAAGGGTGCCCATTTTGTATCATAACGTGCCCGACACTACGACAAGTTTATAAAAGAGAGGCTAGGACCAGGAAATGACGTAAAAAGTAACACCCTACTTGCAAAAGAGGGTAGATGGATTTCCTAGGTTGACGACTTGACGATGACAAAAAACAAAAATTTTCTTCTTCTCTACGATGGATGACCGATTTTCTTTTACTTTTCCTGAAGGGGTGGGAGGACGCTGTTGGTCAGAAAAAGAAGCATCTTGTCACGCAAAAATTTCCGTTCCTTGACACAGCGAAGAGTATACGGGCTTTGCTACGACGCCTTGGACCCCTACGACAAGACATGAGGAGGCTTTCTACTCTTTTTTTTTTTCTTCTCACGAGGCATTAGTCCGTTGATTTTTGTCAGTCTGTTGATCATTTCTGAGTATGAAAGGCGGATGGAGTGGAATGGAGTCTGCGACGCTTTTTCGACTGCCTCTCTCCTACTTCTCGGTACATTTTTTTTTCTCTTCCCAAGGTAGAAGGGGGTTTCGCTTACCGCTTTCTTCCTTTTCCACGGTTCGATTTTTTCCTCGTCTTGTTTGTTCTTTTCCCGATTCTGAGAGGCGTCGGAGAGCGTACTTGCTGGTAAGGATATGCTTGTTTCCCGGCGGGGACTTTTGGGAAGTGCGGATGGCACAAAGTCGGATGATGAGGAATTTTCTTCGTGGATGGTGTGTTTTCATTTGGACTGTTTTTATCTCGGAGGGCAATGGGAATGAAAGGGACTTATAGAATTTTGGTAGTTAAGAATCACTTCTTTCGGTTTACCGTCCGTCTACTGTCTACTGTGAATGATGTTGGTATGAGACGTCAAATTGTCTGTTGAGTACTCTATCATTTTTCTACGTCTACGCACCCTTAACCCCCTCGTCCTCTTTTCCCAAAGCCTCGTCCCTAGGCGGCGCCCTCTCCCCCCTCTGGAAAACAAACAACGCCTCGTCTTTCCCCGCGAAACTCGGCAGCGGAATCTGCACGACCCTCACCCACTCGGGCTGTTCTTTCGCCATGTACTCCGCCATCGTCATCCCCCGGAAGCCGGTATACCCGTTCCCATTCTGCGTGCCCACGACGGCGATGGTGTCGCCCTCGTAGGCCTCCACCAGCCCGCGCGTGAAACTCCCCTCCGTGCCGCCAGCCACGGAGCCGCCCACGACGGGGTAGACCAGCAGCATCACCATGTCTCTCCCCCCCGCGCGGGACTTGAGGAACGAGACGCCGTCGGAGGGGATGGTGTCGGCGATCCAGTTCGTGCGCCACTCTGATTGGAGGTTGTCGACGGGGTAGACTGTGAGGTTGTAGAGGCGGAGCATGTGTGTCCAGTAGCCGTTTCCGGAGCCGATGTCTGCTATGGGCCGGGGGCCGGCGAGGAGGCGGAGGATGGAGAGGGCTTCGTGGGAGGGCGTGGCGCAGCCGAAGTGGTGCATTAGGATCGGGAGGACGTGGTGGGATTGGAGGGGGAGGTTGGGGAGGGGCCCGAGGTATTGGAGGGAGAGGGCGGACCAGGACCAGAAGTCTAGGGAGGGGTTTGGGGGGAGGGACGCGGTTGGGTTTTTGCATTTTGGGATTGCGTTTAGGTTGGGGAGGGATGGGTGGATGTAGCGGTGCGCGAGGAGGTGGGAGGCGGAGAGGGAGCGGAGGGAGGACTTTTTGGCGTTTGCGAGGTGGGATTTTAGGGCTTGTGGGGTTGAGGTTTTTGGGGAGAAGATTTGGATGTAGGATTGGATGTCTGCTTGGGGTGGGGGGTCGAGCTGGTGATGTTAGTCTTCTGATGTTCTATATGAGGTGGAAGGAGAGGGTTGGTGATGGCTGATGATGAGGGAGAGGGGGGGCTGGTGGTGGAGGCTCATGGAGACTGGTGATGAGGAGAAGGGGGGGCTGAGGGACAATTAGGGAGTGAGGGTTAAGATGAATGTACGAAGGAGTGATGACCGAGCATTACATGATGGGTGATATAAAGATGTTGGGAGTTAGAAGAGAGAGACCTGTCGGTGGCGTGATAAAGGGGGGGGGGGGATGGGAGTGTGTGTACGAGAAGACCGAGCTGACACAAGAGGAGGCTGATATCTTGAAGTAGGGAAAGTAAGGGAACACGCAGAGCATCAAATACAATCGACAACAGAGACCGCTCAAACATACCGGCTTCCCCTCCTCGTCGCGATACCACGCGTGCAACCCGTTGACGCCGCCCATGCTCACGACGCGCTGGACCTCGGCGAGGCGGACGGCCGTCATGGCGTGGTAGACGTAGGTGTCACGCTCGGGGAGGTTGAAGGTGACGACGGTGGCGGCGTAGAGGTCGTTCTTGGCCAGGTGGTCGAGGGCGCGCTGGCGGCGGGTCGGGTCGCTTGCGTATTCTTCGGGGGTGAAGGGCGGGTTGGAGCCGACGCAGTAGGTGAAGGTGCCGTTTGGCTTGGGGGTTTTTGGAGGCATTATTTTTTTTGGGAGAGGGTTTCCTCTTGGGGAGGTGGGTGTGGATGATTGGATTGTGGGTGATGAATGAGGTGAGAGTGCGATGTTTTGTTCTGTGATTGTTGTGAGTGAGGGGTTCAGAGGTGAGGAATGAGAGATTTACAGAGGCTCGGGATTTGAGATTTGTAATACAGTCGTCAAGGTCAGTCTGAGGCCTGGGAATTCAAGGGTCTACCGGACGTTGAAGATTAGTATTTTCCGTTGTGACTGGGTCGGAGTGGGAGGACGTTGAATGGTGGCCGGAAGGATTCGAGATTCGGACCCCCTTGTCGTCAGCACTGGTGCCGAGTTTTCGGGGCCGTGGTCTCGGAGCGGACGGCATGACGTCGTTGGTTTTTTGGTTCGGTGAGTGCCTGGGTCCCGCTTTTCTCGGTGTGTGTCGGAACGGTGTAATTAGATCAAATCAACGGTGAATGACACAGTACGGGGTTTGGTGTTAGCCGACCCGACGAGCCGACCAAGTTTGGTTTCTTCCATTACGATTTTCTATTTTCCTTAGTCTACATTCTAGAAGAGTAAGACTAATACCCAGTGATCAATTTACTATGAACAGTTGTTGAAATAGAAGTTGCCCATTAACCCCAAGTCAGCAACTGTCCCTTTTGGTCGCCAACTAGAGCCAATCTGTCGGGACGTCGGGGGCCAAATTTGACTGCCGGATTCTCCACGACGAGGAGGCGGAGAAACGCGGAGCAATGCTGCGGCTCCGGTCTGGCACCTAGGCTATGCATACCCTAGGTAGATACCTTAGTCGAGTACTTCTTCGGCTCAAAGTCTTGATAGACTTGACTCGAGGAGTCAAGCTAGCACTGACAAGACTACTCATCAGAATCGACATTGCTGGACTTTAGCCTAGTGAATCGAGCCACCAGAGTATTCCCTCAATGTGGAATTACCTCGCACCACAACGCGACTTCTGCATGTTCGGCATGTGGAAATGGGCGACTCTGAACTCGAATGTTAAACAAAGCCAAACACCGTCCCGGCATCGCAACCCGTTCGTCTGGTATCCATGGTCCCCTCGGGAGTTGACCGCACCCAACATCCTGAACCGTTCCTCACGAGTCTTGTCAAAACTTCTCTAATTCTCCCCCACACCACCCAACCCCGATTCCCTCCACAATGCTCCCCAAGTGCCAGGGTAGGGCCGATTCTTGCGGAGCGTTTGCGTCTGCGGGGTAGGCCAACCCAGCCCATTGGATCGGACCTGTCATGCCATGTTACTCTGTACCCATCAACGACAAATAAGCTACTGATTTTTTTCTTCTTGACCTTACCGACCACGGGCCTTGGCATTCACAGCTTCAATACCACGGTAAACGACCGCTTCGGACTTCGTCTTTCTCTTGACAAAGTGACGTAGTCCACTACACTAGCCTGGAGGCCATCCCCTGCCACCCCCGGCCGGCATTGGTCTCGTGGCATGACGCCGGGATCATCATCCTCGAGGGGTCGAGCCATGGTGGACTTCATCTCGCAGCATGGAGAACAACCCAGAGGTCCAATGTCCGACCTTCTCCCGGTCCCGCAGTCCATGGCTCAAGTACATAATGGTCGAGAGCTGCCCTGCTCCTTGGTGACCTGACGGGACGACAGCTGCAGCGTATGCTCGTCAAGACATCGTCGGTCACCACAGCTTAGCTCCCGGACGACGACAACATGACCCGACTCAACCTGCTCGCCACCCTCTCCACGGCCTGCGCCACGGTGTCCGCACTGGTACCGAGACAGGCCGTCCCGGCAAACACCACCACCGGCACCGTCCCCACCGTCGACCTCAAGAACGGCTCCTACTATGGCGTCTACAACGAGCTCCACGACCAAGACTTCTTCCTCGGCATGCCGTACGCCCAACCCCCCGTCGACAACCTCCGCTTCCGCGTCCCGCAACCCCTGAACTCCTCCTGGGACGGCACGCGCAACGCGACGGAGTACTCCCCGCTCTGCTTCGGCTACGGAAGCGACACCTGGGTCCTCGGCAACCACGTATCAGAAGACTGCCTAACCATCAACGTCGTCCGGCCTCACGGCGTCGTCGCGGACGCAAAGCTCCCTGTCGCGGTCTGGATCCACGGAGGCGGCCTCACCAACGGCGGCAGCGCCGACCCGCGCTACAACCTCTCCTTCATCGTCGAGCAGGGAGTCCGCATGGGCTCCCCCTTTGTCGCCGCTAGCATCAACTACCGCCTCCACGCCTGGGGCTTTTTGTGGAGCGACGAGATCAAGGCCGAGGGCGCGGGCAACCTCGGCTTCCGCGACCAGCGCCTGGCGTTGCACTGGGTCCGTGAGAATATTGCCGCGTTCGGGGGCGACCCGACGCACGTTACCTTATGGAGCGAGAGCGCCGGCTCCCGTAGCGTGGCGTCGCAGATGCTGGCCTACGGAGGGCGGGACGAAGGGCTCTATCGCGCCGCGATCCTGCAGAGCGGCACCGGTCTCGGGACCGACTTTGGCGAGTTGGAGGCGTCTTCGTCTGCGGCCACGTGGCAGGATTACTACGACACCATCGTCAATAAGACAAACTGCTCCGCAGCGTCCGATACGCTCTCCTGCCTTCGTGGCGTCCCGGCCTGGACCTTGAGCGACGTGCTCAACACCACGACCACGAACCCGGCCTTCACGGGCGTCGTCGACGGCGAGTTCCTCGAGGCGCCGCGCCACGAGCTCGTCAACGAGGGCAAGTTCACGCGCGTGCCGCTGCTGATCGGCGCCAACTCGGACGAGGGCACGCAGTTTGGCGTCAAGGGCGTCAACACCACGGCGCAATGGCAAGCCTACCTCCGCTCCGGCGGGGCGGGTAATCTCACGATCGAGGTGCTCTCGGCGCTGTACCCGGATATCCCGCGCCTCGGCACGCCGGCGACGCTGCAGGGCCGACCGAGCGGTGCGCAGGCGAATTTCGGCGCCATGTGGAAGCGCGTGAATGCGTTTGCGGGCGATCGCGCGCAGCATGGTCCCCGGCGGTTCTTTGCGCGTAACTGGGCTGGACCGAGGGGGAATCAGAGCGTGTACTCGTATAATTTCAACGTGCTCGTCAACGGTATGACGCCCGCGGAGGGGGTGAACCACTTCCAGGAGGTTGCGTTTGTGTTTAATAACACGGGCGGGTTGGGGTACGAGACGGCGGTGGCGGTGAATCCGTTTGAGGGGAAGCCCGAGACGTTCAAGGCGCTGGCGGAGATTATGTCGCGGATGTGGGTTGGGTTTATCACCAAGGGCGATCCGAATGCGAATGCTGGGGCGACGGGCGTGAAGTGGCCGCGGTATGATGTTGAGAACCCTGAGATTATGGGGTTCGATGTCAACGTTACCGACTTGGTTCATGTTCAGCCGGATACGTACCGCGCTGAGGCGGTTGAGTATTTGATTCAGAAGCTTTGGTCGTAAGGTCGTGGGGTTGATGATGTGGAAGCAAAGACGGGCATCTCCAATCAAAATAGATAATACATGATCACACCAAATGCTCACGGTATGGACAAGACCCGAGCTTAATAAACGATACTTGAATTCACCATGACCTAACTCACTAAGCGCACTTAAGGCCGAATAGACTGCGCCAGCTGGAAAGCTGGTAAACAAACCTCCGGATACACCATAAGTTTCCTCATTAACCTAGGCTTCATTACACCTGGGGAACAAACAAACGAACACCCATATTTGACACTCCAACAGAACCGCGTTTAAGCTCTGACCTTGCGGAAGGTCGTCGGGTACGGCTTCAGGATGTAAGTCGGGGTGTAGGTCGGTTCCGCGGTCACGGTGATCGTGGTGGTGCGCGTAACAGCGCCATCGGGTGCGTTGGTGGAAGTGGAGGAGGATGAGGAGGAGGAGGAAGTGCTGGTGGAAGAAGAGGAGCTCGAGCTGGCGGTGGCAGTCGGCGTCACGGTGACAGTAACGGTGCCGGTGCTGGACGAGGTGGCAGACGAGGTGGTCGATGAAGTGGTGGAAGAAGTAGGAGTCGCCGTACTGGAAGCGGTTCTGCTGTGTCTGCCCTTGCACCTCAAGCGACGGGTGCGAGGGGGCGGCATGGCGTAGTACTCATCATCCTTCTCCTCCGTCTCCTCCTCTTCGTCCGCAGAAGGCTCGGCAGTGATAGTCGGCACGTACAGCTGCCTGGGCTCAAGAGTCTTGCTGGCCCACGGCTTGACCAGGCGTCCAAGCTCACGAGGACATTCTCCGTGCGTGCAGAGGGAAGAATCGGCGTACTTGTCCGCGGAGGGCTCGGCAGAGTCAGTCTCCACAGCCGGCTGCCTGGGCTCGAGGGTCTTCGCGGCCCGTGGCTTCACCAGACGCGCAAACTTATGAGGGCAGTCTTCGTGTGTACAGAGGTAGGAGTCGACGTCTTCGCCGGTAGAGGACTCGGCGGCGGCAGTCTCTACGACCAGCTGTCTGGGCTCGAGGGTCTTGGTAGCCTCCATACTCGCGATTTTGGCCTTGCGCGAGCGCCTCTTGGGACAGTCTCTGTAGGAGTCGGCGTCATCCTCGTCAGCGGAGGGCTCGGCGTCGTCCGTCTCCTGTTGCTGTCTAGGCTCGAGGGTGCGGGTGACCTCCATCTCCTTGGGGCACTTATTATGCGTGCAGAGGGAGGAGGACTCGGCATTCTCATCCGCCTCACCGCTTCGCTGCTCGCGCGCCTGAAGGGGGGCAGTAGGCTGAGGAGCATCTCTCTTGAGAGCAGCGGTCTTGGGTGCCTTTGGCTTGATGATCTCGTGGTGTGTCTCGATGATGATTGGTAGAGAAGGGGGGCGTTTTGCCGGGTTGGTCTTCTCGCTTGCTACTGCGGTCGTGGTCTTGTTCCCCTTTCCCTTCCTCTTCTTCTCCATGTTGATGATCTCGAGGATTAACATAGGGGGGATATTCGAGAGGGAGGAGTCCTCGGCTACGGCTGTGGTTGTCGGACGCGGACCCCGAATGGTATCAGCGTTGATGAGGGAGGGGCCGACGGAGACCAGCAGGATGCCGGCCAGGAAGGTGATGCTTTTCATCTTGAGAGTTTGTTGTAAAATATGGTCTATAAGATTGATGAAATCACAGATGTGAGAAGTTGACAGAAGAAGCAAGGGAAGAGGGAAGAGTCTGGCAGAAGATGAGTTTATATACATTGGTGGGAAGAAGCAGGTTCGAGCTTTGGAATAGAAAATTCGTTGAGAAGTCCACAAGGTTGCTTTCCCAGATTCAGCCTTTTCAAAGGAGTTGCCAGGACGGTGCTTAGCGGAGCAAGGCCGTCAAGGCTCTAAAATTCCATTTGCTGCCTATCCACAAGCAAAGCTTCAGTTTTGAAGGACCATATATGAATGTTACATCATAGGACAGATCAAGGCATCCCGAGCGGAACATGACTATGGTAGAGAAAGGCTGTCAGAGGCATTTCGACGGGACAGGGATCTGCGGGACATATATCTTTCTTCGCTTCCAAACAGCCAGACGGTTCGTGGCTTTCAAGGTAAGAGGCTGTCGATGATGGAGACCGGTTGACACCATTGTAACCACGATCATTTGAGTTTTGTGGCAGACACAATTCGTCAGATCATCAACCTCAACGAACTTCGTGGCTTGATTGATGCACTAGTGACTTCGTATCTTCAAGGCGAAACTTTATGTCTTCGATTCCAGACTGTGGAAGTTTTTGTATTGTTTTCTGTTCCCTTCAACCTCCCGTTTTTGCCCGCTATTGAATTTATACATGAGCCGCTCCGTCATCAACCGCTATGGTTTTATCAACAGTAAGGGTACGCACTACGGGTCTCCAGCGATCCCAAAAAAAGATTTCCGAAATCCTTCATGTGGCTTAACTGGAATTAGAGTACCAGGAGGTAGAGCTTAAAACCGAGGAAAGAACAAGGGCTCTCTTCGAGGCTAACGAGAGCTCACATCATTCTGCAGGAATGACCTTTTGGCGATACTGTACTGACCAAAATGGACCTTGGAAGATTCTGATATGTTGCTGAGTGACACAAAGGTCGACAAGGAGGCGCAAGGTTGGAAGAGGCCAGTAGAGCGGCTTCCTTGTGGAGTTGCATCATCTTGCTATGAGATTCTCCCGTTGATAGCTTCTATGAGGCCGGATCTTGCGACAGGCAACTCGGTATAACTCGGGAAACGGTACTGACCACGAGGCTGGACGTGTATTTGATCCGGAAGGGTGAGAACCCTGCTTGAAGGTCTAATCTGAGGCGTGGTACTTGTGAATGACTATGAACCTTGCGATAGAAAATATCCTTCCGCCATGAAACGAATCTCTTTACTTCTCAAGGAATGCAATTGCGCGACTAATGCCGCGAATGCTCCGTTCCAAAACGCTGGTATTTATAGCGAGCCACAACGTTAGCAGTTTCTGTCAACAGTGTGACTTCTCGAGGGATTTTGCAGATTCGACACTGCTTTTCGTTTCGTTGTTTACAACGAATTCAGTGGCCAGAAGGCTTCTGTTTGGCGGACGTTGAGAGCAGTAAAAACAAATCGGGATGCAGACCTCGGTCAAAAGTGGTCATCTTTTCTAATGTAGTCTACCCTGAATATATACAGAGTGATGCCTGGGGATGACTTGAGACAAAGTTCCATTGCGATCCTCGATGTTGTGAGTGGGTGAGACCCACTGGACCAATTTGGAAGCTCCGAGGGGCCTCGGATGGGAAGTACATATGGGCCTCGTGCCACAACAATCCTAGCTAGCAATCCAACCTCCTACATACACACCTTGACCCCCCCCCCCCCCCCATCTGAGCGCACACACAGCTAGACAGACAGATGGAGAATACAAGCTTAGTTCACACCACACATCTAGCCCCTACGTGGCCTCGATGTGAGTAAGCTCACACTCGAGATCATTGAGAGGAGGGGAAAGAGGAGGGGAAAGAGGAACAAGACCACAACCGCAAAGACAGGCGAGAAGACGAATACTGCAAAACGGCCTCATTCTTTGCCTATTATTATCGAGACCTAGTACGAGGTCATCAAGCCAAAGGCACTGAATACCGGTGTTCTTGAGGTATCTATTATATAGTGTGAACATCCGGTCCAATAACGATGTCAGGATATTAGGAACAGCGGTTGTGGCATCAATCTTAGCTTATCAATAGGTTCCCTTACATTTCGAACAGTTTGATTGACTAGCTCAAAGTACACGAACAGGGAACCCTCGTTAACTACTGGGTCATTCAAGAACCTGTTTTCCCCTTTATCACGGCTGACGGTCGGATTGTGGCTTCTTCATATGGGTGGACCACACCAACCATGCCAGGCAGTCGACCAGCGATGACAAGCTTGGATTCCAGAAGTGTTTGGAATTTTCTACCATCTAGCGTAAGGTTATTTAGTGTAGAACAGCATTTCAAGCGACTGTAGAAGACGTTGTTTGTCAACCACCTTTGTCGAATTTCTCAGCTCTAGCCATGAGAGAACAATTCCAATCTCGCGGCTGCTCCTCTACCCTCTAAGCGAAGAGAAAGAAAAACAGAAATGAAAGCCTAGCCCACCTGCCGGGGACCTATGAAATTCCTACGCATGTATGACACTCTTGAATAGCGATGCGAGGACTCTTCACGAGACTCCGCGCAGCATTTCGGTGGCGACCCGGCATTCCCTACTACACTTGACATGAGCCGGTGATAGCATCAAACAAATTTATTGGCTATAGAGGGTATCGAGACGAGCGGGAGGGTTATATGTCGCGCGTGTGTGAGAGTAAACATAGACAGGCCTGGTGGTGACTCGGACACATGCAATTAGGGACCCCAAGGCGGCACCTCAACAGCAAAACGGGCGTGATTACTGGAAGATGTTAATTGCTTCTGCTTATAGTAAGGGTTGTCTTGTAACTTACTCTGCGTTCTTAACCGCCTTCTCGGGATCTTCAAGGGCAAATTGCTTGCAGTAGTCGACATCATACCCATAGTCCGTTGTTCCTAACACATCTCGAAAGTGCGTCGCCTCGTGGATGATAGTACTATAAAAATCTCAGTCAGACACAATCCTTTGACTCACGATCATGAGAAGACACAGGTGCCCTCAAGGTCGAGACATGAACTCACTCCCACTGATTGCGATGCCGCCCAGCAGGCGGAAGCATCGCCTCGTTGAAATACACACTACAAATCTTGACGTCGCCGTACGTGCCGCCAATAGTCGCGTATACAGCGGTGCTGGTACACGAGCAATCGTATGAGAACGTAGTGGACAAATCAGGCGCGAATTTCTGTTTTAAAGATTGTTAACTCATATATCCATCGTCTCTCTCCCCTGGGTACCATGAGACTGAATAGCCCCGCCAAACGTACCTTGAAAGCCGTCAACACGCGATTATAGCGGTCGGTGCTGAACTTTCCGTACCACGTTGTCTGGACATCGCTACCGTTGGGGTTATCCTCCAGGTGCTCAATCGCCGCAAACGACTTGTTGGTAGCTCGCTCGATGGCCGCTTCGAGAGTGACGATTTGCGCGGCGGTGCAGGACTTGAAGGTCGCGGCTAGGGTGCCGGACACGATGGACAGGAGACCTGCCAGGTGAGAGATTCTCATCTTTTCCCTTTGGTTTGCAGTCCGAAGCAGAAAGCTGTCTACGATGTTGAATCAAGTCTATCGGTCTTCAAAGCTTGAGGGTTCGCGAAACCTTTATTACGGGTAGAAAAGCGGATGTGGTGTAATCGCACCATGTCGCTAATTCTTGGCAGACATGCATTAGGAAGGTACAAGATTGCCGGCTTCCAACTCCCTCTCTGCACTTTCCGTTCCAAGGTAGCGAACCGCGCAGGGATGCATTATCTCGTATTTTCGCTGTAGAGTTGCATGACGATTTCTGCATGGCTTTACTTCAACATCACCCGTCCATGACTCCAACATTTACTTCCCGCTCATCAGTTGCAAGTATTCCGATGACTTTCTGGGCCTTGCGTACTGGAAGATAGAGTGATCTTTGATAAATGGCTGAGTTTCTCAAGGAAACGTGCCCAAGTTCTGTTGAGATCATACATCGTCGGAAAGCCGCTTCTCAGCGATGAAGTCATCGATGCGAATCGGAGCTTTATCTGCAAAAAGGTCTTCTCACGTCTACTCTGAAAAGTCAGAGTGGGATAATTGCCAGAGGGCTTCTCATGAGCACTACCGCCAATAGTAGTAGTCACGACGACATGCGTCTAAAAGCAACCGGCCGGCACGCTCAATTCCCTTCTAATTCCTCAGCCAGTCTGATATAAAGGCACGATTATCTCGCCGTGTCCGATCTCAAGGCTAGAAACCTGGAGTTCTTGAGCTGAAATGGCACCACAAATTTCCTGGTGACTATCGAGTCTTGAAAGAGTGGGTTAATTAGAGAGAGAAGATCCATTACGATGCAACTTGCTGATGAAACATAACTTGGTATCAGAGGAACGCCACGTCAACAACCCAAACAGTAACAAAAGACCAAACAGATACGCCGATTGACTCAAAGCAAGGCCACGAGCCACAAACTAACAAGCTACAACCCATCCCGTACCTAGTCAAAATTCTCTGGGCAGGATTCGCCCGTGCTATGGAAGAAGTTAAGTCGGGCAATGCGGATAACAGATCGGCGAACTCCTTTGCAAAGTGTATCCCGCGCCTCTCGGAGGTCCCGCGTCCGCACCCGTATATTCGTAGACCCACACCCGGCCGGAGGGCAGCGGGCTTCCCGGACAGGAACACTTTACAAAGTGACGTCTCTCAAGCTCATCCCGCAACGCCTCCTCCCAAAAGTCGCCCCAAGAAGCCAGCCGGCCGGCCACACACCTCCGGACGAGACCGAGCACGAAACCCCTCACCCTCGAGGCTAACCTCCGTGCGTAATGGTGTTCGCGCCAACTCTAAGACCAGTTCGCGCAAACCACCTCACGGGACCATTATTTCTGGGTCCTTTACCCCCCAGAACCTTTGGTCTCACTCCTTCAGGACCCAATCCCCTTCCCAGAGGCGTCAATCGTTCATGGCCAAGCACGCAAAAAGTGGATGGGATATGTCATATGCAAATCCAATAGTGCTTTCTTTTTTCTGAAATTGACATGATAGCCGCTGGGCCCAATGACTCCACACGTAAAAGTCATAAATATCTCTCGCTTTCCGAAATCTGTGAAAATAATAAAAGATGTATAAATTCAATGTAGAGATTCGCTTCTCGCTTTCAAGGGCTCCTCGTCCAATGCTGCCGTTAGATAACCAAAGCTCCGCGCATACAAGTATCATCATCTCCTGCTACATGCTTCCTCTTACATCTGCCCCCGCCGTACTCATCAGCCCTCAATGGCAAGAGTCTCGCGGTCACGCTCTCGGTGGCGGTGGTGATGGTCATCACGTCGCCTCGAGTCGTCTTCATACTCGTCTTCGTCTCGACGGTGTCTGCGGTGGCGCTCCCTGTCGCGCTCCTCGTCGTACCGGTCATCATCGCCGTCTTCCCTCCTGTGATGGCGGTGCTTCCGCTTGTCATCATCTTCGCCATCGCGGTCACGTCCACGGTCCTGGTCCCGGTCGCGATCGCCGCGGTCCCGGTCCTTACCAGTCTCTTCACGTCTCCGTTCTATTCCACTTGTTAGTCCATGCCAGAGCAAGTGCTTCTAGTTTCCCAACATACCTCTCAAGACCTGTGTTGCGGCGGCATAGGCCTGGATCTCCTCCTTGCTGAGAACGCGAAGGACAATGACGAAGTCGTCTCTGACTTCGAACCGCTCCTTGCCAACGGTCAAGGCCTCAGGATTTACGATCTTCCGGCTGATCTTGGTCCATCGGGCACCAGGAGGAACTTCCCTCAGTTTCTTGTCATCCTTGTGAGGTGCCACACCCTCACGAATTGGGTTGTCCTCTTCGGGATACTTCTTGGGTGCCTTCAGGATACCCTTGAGAGGCTTTGCGTCTGACTTGTCGCGAGGCGGAGACACGACGCGGACCTGCTTCTCGTCACGAGGTGGTGTGAGATCGCGGTCGCGGTCACGGTCGCGATGTTCATCTCTGGATGAAGTAACAATCGAGTCGGCCGAAGGGAGTGAGACGGGCGATTCCCTCTTTGGTGGCGGTGACTCCTTCTTGGGTGAAGGTGTGCGTTCCTTCGGCTCCTTGTGTGGCTCGCGGAACGGAAGATCAGCGTATGTTTGCTTGTCTGATCTATCATCTCTTTCAGATCGTTCAGGCCTGTCCAATCGGTCGGATCGTTCGTATCTCTCAGACCGCTCTGGACGTTCTGAGCGCTCCGACCGGTCAACGCGGTCTGACCTGTCAACAGGAACCGGAACCCTTTCTGGCTTGTCATCCTTCATGGCTGCCAGTTGCTCCTTCAATTCCCGAATGTCGTTGGTGTTGGTAGGATTGAAGCCAATCTGCCGCTTAGGACGCCTCGACTTTTGCTCGTCATCTTCCGGGGACACATCTCGTTGTGCAGCTGTAGAATCGCCCGTGAGCTTGGCTTCAGCATCCCGGCGATTGCGGTCGCGATCACGCTCTCGGTCACGCTCTCGATCGCGCTCCTTTTCACGCTCCTTTTCGCGATCACGGACATCTGCCTCTTGCTCGGCGGCGGCCCTGCGAGTTTCAACAATGACGGGTGCACGATCACGAGGGTCCCGAGACTCCTCCCGAGGCTTGTATCTCTCGGCAGCACGCGCTCCAGGATCCTCTTCATCGCTTCGGCGCCGGGGCTCCCGGGACTCCCGCTCCGACTTTTCGGGGCGCTCGTCCTTCTCTTTCTCCTTCTCCTTTTCCTTCTCCTTCACGGCTGAGCCGAGGCCAATCGCGGTGGCGGCAAGACCAAGTCCCGCACTCAACTTATCACGCAGGCGCTTCTTCTCGGCTTCGTCCTCGTTAGCTGTGCTAGTCCGCCGCAGATGGCGATCCTTGTCCGTCTCGAGGCGGGCTGAATCACGCTTGGAGCGATCCTTTTCGTCCCGGCGCTTAGATTCATCGTCGGATCCTCTCTTGACATCCGGAGGAGATGTTCGATGACCACTTCGAGACTCTGGTCGGGGGCCGCCGCGCGACTCTGGTCTATATCCAGTGCGCGAGTCTGGGCGATAACCATTTCGAGACTCGGGTCGTGCCTCTCTACGTCGGTCCTCGAAATCGCCGCCAACGGGAGCTGAGTCCGTACGGATACCGAAACCACGGCTGGTGACTCCATTATCGTAGTAATCACCACTGCCGTAAATGGGATCATACTTGCGATCAGGCTCCCGGGCCTGCCGCTGAGCCCGATCATCATCGCGACTTCGGTAGTAATCCTCGTGATGGCTGGATCGAGGGGGCCCCTCATTATACACGGATACAGGCCGCCGAGAGGCTGCCGCTCCTGCGACAGTCGCTGCCGCTACGGAAGTTGCTGCGGCGACATCCATGGAGGAAGGGATACCA